AAGTCAGGATTCCTGTATGATCTCGGTGTCTGGAAGGTTTTCCGTTTTCTACCTCGATGACTGGAACTTTTTTATTATTCATTTGACCTTTTAGGTGTCACGTACCTTCTTTGGCATTTTCGAACATTTCGATAATCAGTATGGTTTGTGTGTGCGTGCGTGTGCGTGTGTGTGTGTGTGTGTGTGTTGTGTGTGTGTGTGTGTGTGTGTGTGTTGTGTGTGTGTGGTGTGGTGTGTGTCGATGTCGCTAAATTAGATGGAAACGCTTTTAGGATGTTCAAGGGAGAGGGGGAGAGGAAGAAGGGGAAGCTGCATATATTTAGTTACGAAGTCATGTTATGCCAAAGATAACAAGATTAGAGATAATGTCGGGAATCTGTTACACTTTCTTTGGCATTTTCGAACCCTGTGTTACTTTCTTGGGCATTTTCGAATCCTTCAGTACTCAGTAAGTTGTAAGATAAATGTTATGACAATGTATATAGATGTGTGTGTGTGACGGGGGAGCTGCACATTCAATTGTGAAGTCCTATTATGTCAAAGATAACAAGTGATAAGATGGATAAGATATTTTATATAGAAAGAAATATACCGGAAAATATGAAAGATAGAAACAAAAGCCATTTAGTGAAAACAAGATTATGGTAAGAAAAAAAATGGAGCTAAACATTTGATTCAAATGGTGAGTAGTAGTAAAATAAGTTCCAAAGAGTTAGTAAGCTGGGTGAGTAACTGGAAAGCTGTTATGAGTATGCATATTATTGTTACTATTATCACAATTATTATTGTGATTAGTATGATTTTTATAAGCATTATTATTACTATTATTATTATTATTAGTATTAGTATTAGTATTAGTATGTTTCCATTATCAGAAATTGTATTTTTATTATCACTAACACCATTACTTTTATGATGATGATTATAATTTTATTATTATTACTTGTAATCCTAAGTATCATTATCATGATTAGGATAATTATCATTATTAGTATCATTAGAACTACCATTATCGTTATTATTATCATTATGATCCTTATTACTATTATTCACATATTGATATTTTTTCATGATTGCATTACCATTATCAATATTGTTATTTTGATTGTTTTTCTTATTATTGTTATCATTTTTTCCACTGTTATTTCCTCTTATTGTGATTATCACGATTATTATTATTATTATTATGTTTCTTGTATTTTTCATTCTTATTATTATCATTGTAATTATTGCTATTATTATTATTATTATTATTATTATTATTATTATTATTATCATTATATTATTATTATTATTATTATTATTATTATTATTATTATTATTATTATTATTATTATTATTGCGGTTGTAATCATTATTATTATTATTACCATTATAGAAATTATAATTCTTGTTTTTGTGTTCATTAGTTATCATTATCATCATCATCATTATATAGTAGTATTATTGTTATTATTATTATTATTATTATTATTATTATTATTATTATATTTATTGGTATTATTTTTTATTGTTGTCATCATCTTTATTACTAGTGTTATCATTTACATCATCATTATTGTAATTCATCATTATTATCATCAGTGTTATTATAATAATAATTATATTTATCCGTGTTAGTATCATTACCATCAATATTATTATTATTATTATTATTATTATTATTATGCATATGATAATGATTATTATTATTATTAATTAGCATTAGCATTAAAATGATACTAATGAAAATAATAATTTGAAGAAGACAAAAAAAGAGAAATAACTTCAACAAAGCCTGCTCACCAAAGAAAAATAAGTACATTGTAAATCTATCTAAATCTATCAGTAACTGTGTCGATCTTAAGTTGAAACTCACACCCAAGGCATTAATCCATCAGTGAGGTTCCCAGTACTTGTGGTCACTAAAGCTAAGGTCACACTGGTCTTCTCTGTCGTGGGATCACAAGACAGCTTCGCCTAAGTCTGGTCAGCTGACCAATTGCAAGCTGTAGCTGACCAGACTTCGACAAGGCTGTCTAGGGATCCAAGGGCAAAGAAGACTAATGTGACCTAAGCCAAAGACATCGATATTAAGGATAATAATAATGATGATGGAGATTATCATGTTCAGGAAGATAAGGGTAATAGCAATAATAGTGACAAAATTAATAATAATAATAATAATGATAACGGTGACAATATTAATAATAATGATAATGATAACGTTGACAATAATGATAATGGTGACAATAATGATGATAATTATGATAGTGGTGACAATAATTATAATCATTATAATAATGGTAACAATAATGATAATGAAAATAACGGTGACAATAATGATAATGAAAATAATAATGGTGACAATAATGATAATAATAATGGTGATAATAATGACAATGTTGACAATAATGATAATGGAAGCCAATATATGTGGGTAGGAAAAGAGTAACCAGGTACAAGCGCAATGTTAAATGATTTCAATTGTTGAATTCTTACTTGACAACCAGATGTCTTATACCAGTAGTTTAGTCCTGCCCCCAATACGGACTTAGGCGATTGTTGCCTTCTGGTTACACTTCCAGCTTACCCACTATAGCTCTGCCTGTGATATGTAATTCAGCAGCCATTCTTTGTAGGCTTGTGGACCATGAAAAAATGCTGGAAGGTCGTCAGTATATTTAAGAATTCTTGTATTTTTAAAAACGAAAACAGACATATTATTTGCTTTAAATATTTAAGCAAGGCCATGGGCTTTGAAATGGTGCTCTTTTTGTATTTTGCATTCCCTGCGACTCCATGATAGCTTGTAAATGTAGTATGTGTATTAGTGTCTATTATGGTGGTTGTAGGAGTTTCATGAAATTACAGAAATTTACACAAATATATTTAAAGGAAATGTCCGAAATTCCTTGGTGATAAAACCTTATGATACAGAATATAATCTAGATTTTTATAATAGAAAAACATTTTGTAAATATAATGTTTCCCATGCAATCCAGTTATTTTTTTTATGAAATGAGCTATTGATATGTTTTAGTATAATGAAGTAAAATCTTGGTTGTAACTCAAAGAGGTTTCCATTCTCACTATATGATGGCCTCACTGTTGTAGCTGAGGAAAGAATTAAATTTCATCACAAAAAAAAAAAATTTTACTACATAATTTTAGTGAAAGAAGTTGTTGACCATTCGCAAAACAATAAAAGATAAAGAATGCATAATAACGCTTTATTCCAGTCACACATTAACTCGACAATTCCTATTGCAGTCTTTCAGTTTTAAATATTTTTCCTTTCACTATTCATTAACATTGTGTTGTACCATGAAACCTTTAATTCAATTATTTTTTATTTTTGTAACCTTAAGAATAATGCAATTTCTTTGAAGAAACCTGATCGTGAGTGTTGTGGCATGACTGCAATGCATTATATTTTTTAGAAGATGAATGGTCATTATAAGATTCTGTAGAGGACAGGGAGAAGATGGAGCACGATCTTTGTCTGACTTTATGGAAGAGAGGTGAGGAGAAAGGTGAGAGCCGTTATTGACCTGGCTTGATTAGTCCAGGTTGCAAAGACAGGTGTAGATGATATAGAGGAAGCATAATTTCGCCAGTTGTTTGTGATGTATTACGGACTGTACGCGCGAAGATCAGCTGATGCCTTTATAAATCATAAGAGGGCTGTTAATTAGTCGTGGGTGTCTCTCTTACAGTTGTTCCAAGCTGCACGCTCTAAGTGAAGCGCTTTGGTACAATACGATTTCCACCATGGAACACATTTAGGATGTTGGCGTATAGAAGCATGTCTAAAGTGGAAGAGAAGGATGACGAAGGAAGATTAAGAGTAGAGAGAGGTAAAGGTATGCCAGTCAGCTCTGTCAAAGTATCAGCGACGGAGGCTCGGGAGTGCGGAATACGAAGGAGGAAGGAGAGTTGGAGAGTGATCGCTGTCATGAAGGTGGTCTAGAACTGACCAATGGAATTCAAGACGAAGGGAAGAAGAGCAAAGGGAAAGATCCAGGCATGAAAAGATTTTCTAAGGAACGTACTCTGGAGGTGATGGAGGAATTTCCCCAAATATGTGTGGTGTCTTTGAAATCTCCATCAGGAAAGGTGGTAAGGGAAGTTGGGAAACTTTCAAAGGCTATTGAGTCAATGGGAAAGGAAGAGGGAGGCTATAGAGTCAATGGAAAGGAAGGGAGAGGCCATAGAGTCGATGGGAAAGGAAGGGAGATGTAATAGAGTCAGTGGAAAAGGAAGGGAGAGGCTATAGAGTCAATGGGAAAGGAAAGTGAGAAGTAGATTGAAACAATTGCGATCCAGCGGCGGAGAAAATGCGAATAACTGTGCAAGTTATAGTGGTTTGTAAGGGAGGTATAACATATTTTTATGTTGTACAAGTATGGAGGAGGTAGGTAGAGAGTGAGGGGATGCCACAAAATAAATTGGGAATTGCTACTGGAGGTACTGGAAGGTTTCTTAGATGTAGACAATGGATGGGTTATGAGAAAATAGGAGATGACGAAGGTCAGGTCAGTGAGAAAGGAAGCCTCAAATATTCCCCCTGTAGAAGAGTCATTATGAGGTAATCAACGGGTAATGAATAGAAATTGGTGTCGTAGAAATAGGAGGAAGAGGGCCAGGGGAAGAAGAAGTGCTAAGAGGTTCATCAGATGAAGGGTCTGGAGAGGGACACTGTTGTGACAGAAAGGATTCACGTGAGTATCCAGGAGAGAGTAGGAGGGATAATTTGGAAACGCGGGGTTGGTGCTGAGGGGGGGGGGGGGGGGGGGGGGGGGAGAAGGTAGGATCATGAATAGGAGGATGGATGAATGTCAACAGTCACTTTGAAAGTAGACAGAATGGGGGTAGATGAATTTGAGGATGGTTTAGAGAAAGAAGCATTTTCTTGGGTCATGCTTAGGAAATTTCGGGTGTCCTCAAGGATTTCTGGAGGGAAGTTGGGTGGGAGGTTTGGGAAACGAAGGATTTTTAATGAGGAGGTGAAATCGAGATAGGCATTTGAGGAGTAGATGTGGTCCGACAGGGCAATATTCTCCACCGATAGACATTGGTCATGTCTACGGAAGGTAATCAGCAATATTGATATGGGACTTCCGGCGGTCTGACAAATCCTTGTCTTAGAGAGGGCATTCTGCTGTAGAGATGGAAACCAGTTCAAATCTGTATATTGTCAACCGTGTAGGGAAGGCGGCCCTATAAAAAGCAATATGGCACACGTGCGTGACTTTGCAGAGCAATTTGATCGGCCATGACCAGGTTGGGCACATAGAAGGCATCCGGCTTTGGAACGCCAGTGTTTGGCAGGATGGCCTTGACGCCAACACTTCTGACATTGACTGGGATGAGGTTGATATAGTCGGACAGGGAAGGACTCTCCGCCAGTTTAAACATCACGGGGGGTCACGTCTTTGAAAAGTATTGACAATATTGGCGGAGGATTTACGGCGGCCTCTTGGGGAAATGGTGTAATACTGTATTGATACTGCATCATCGTCCACAAGGCAGGCGAGTAAGTGATCACCACAATCTGACCAATCCGTATCGTAGACAAGGGAGTTTGTCGGGGAGATGGAGACAGTTCCGATGCAAGTGTTGAGTACGGAATGAAGCTGGGCAGTAATGGAATTGCCGGTGAAGTCAGTAAAGACTGATAATTCTTTAGCTTGGGATTCTGAAGTAACTGTGACAAGGCGGGACGATGCGGAAAGAAACTTTGCTTACTTGTTTTTGGAAACATTGTTGGAGGGGATCACGAAAAATCAATCCCATTTGTCTGGACTAAACAGTTTTCAAAAGGTTCGTAGTGGTGGGGGTAGTAGAAGGACGGGGGCGTCTGGCAAAGGATTAGTGTTGAGAGAGGAGTGGTAGTATTGTCGAGAGGTAGACAATAAGGCTGCAGTAGTAATAAGGGTGAAGAATGTAGTACACGAAGAAAGCTGTGGGTGTCGAGATGGATAATTGGAAGATGCTGGGAGAGAGGAATGTCTGGAGGTTGAGTAATGACCTGTGTGGATGGTATGGAATGGGTTGAGGTGACAGTAGGTATTGAGAAGGGGGTTGCAGCAGCAGTGTTTCTGAGTCGTGGTCAAAGGAGATCCTAGGGGTCGGGGAACCAGAATTAAAATCAGTGGGCTAGTTGTTAAAAGAGTCTCACTGCCCCTTATATGAGTACAAAAGGCCCAAGGTAGGAGATATCCCCAACACTTGGCCTTAGTCTCTGTCTCCTAGGCCCCCATGACAAGACATAGGATTGGGGAGTTCAACAACAATAACAAATACACAGTTTTACTGAACAATTTTATTTCTTCTCAAATAATGAAAGATGTATGCCATACAATAATAAAGAACATTATTCACATATCATAAAAAAAAGCTAGACACCTACTCATGTACAACATTCACACTTACATATATGTATACATATATATATATACTGTATATACAATATTTGTACTGAATTATTATTTTTGACATCAAGCAAATTACAATGATTTCTGTCATGAACTACAATCTTAAAACTACAGTTACAGAGATAAAAGATGAGAGAGAGAGAGAACACACACATAAACACACTCTCACACACATACACACACACACACACACACACACACACACACACACACACACACACACACACACACACACACACACACACACACACACACACACACACACACACACATGTGCACGCATGGACACACAATATATACACACACTCTCACTCACTCACTTACTCACTCACTCCTCACTCTCTCTTTCACTCACTCACACTCACACACTCACACTCACTCTCACACACACACGCACACGCACGCACGCACGCACGCACGCGCACAACACACACACACACACACACACACACACACACACACACACACACACACACACACACACACACACACACACACACACACACACAACACACACACACACACACACTCATTCATATACACACAAATCAAGTCAAGAAAACAAGTCTTAGTTCAGAATATCGTATCAGCAATGGAACAAATATTGTTGCTTGCTATGGAATGAAAAAAGAAAAAGAAGGAAAGAAAGAAAACTTGAGAGAATAATGTGCTAAGGACTGCAACCATTACAAAGGACTTTAAATACCATGGATTGCAATTCCCTTACATTTATGATATCTCAAAAAGGTTCTTTAAAATATCATTTTCCACAATACAAAGAAATTGGTGTTTTTAACATCCGAAAGCCTTTTCATGAGTACATGTTTTTATGACATTTTTTCATGTATTACAAGCTGAATTTACTGCATGAAAAATCATACAGATTTAATGAGAATCACAAAAAGAATCAAAACGAATAAGTGCAGTACATGATCATATAACACAGAACTAAAGCAAATGTGCCTAAGCAAAAATATGATTATAAAAAGACAAACAAATCTTATTTCACATCTATTTTTTCTAACATTAATTTTATTTTTTATTTCCAGAGCAGTGTCACTAAACAATTAACATTTTCATG